TTCCCAAGTAGCTGGGACCACAGGCGCCCGCCACAACGCCCGGCTATTTTTTGGTTGCAGCCGTCATTGTTGTTATGGTGGGCCCAGGCTGGATTCAAACCTGACACCTTAGGTGTATGTGGCTGGTGCCTTAGCCACTTGAGCCACAGGTGCCCAGCCCAATTAATTGCTTTCAAAATTAAACAACCATTTTATGTTGAAATGGTGGCTATCTAAATAAAGGTAAGAGAAACAGAGGTCCAAATGCACTTGTTCTTGTTTTTTAAGTGACCAAAATACAGTAGAATCTCCATAGGTGAACCACCTCCTTAAGTTGACCTAATTTTCATAGACTGGACATGTACCACATGCACGAATCAGTACAGTAGGCCCAGCTCCTTATATTGACCACCTCCCTATGTTGACCACTTTGTATCGTCCCTTGAGTGGTCAACTTACAGAGGTTCTACAGTAATCCAATGAACAATCCATGGCCTCTCAGGTAAGAAAAGCTTCCTAACGCTGCGTCAGGTTGAGAATCTGCAGACTGAGACTGAGTTTCTCAGGTTGAGAATCTTCAGTGGTTTATAAACCACTCCTTTGTTTTGCTCGAAATGAATTGTGCTGAGATGTTCTACTATTTATGAAAAGAAATATGTATCTTAAAAGAAGGAATTTCTTAAAGGAAATCAGCATTTAAGGTGATGATTTCTTTTGGGGAATCCTCATTTAGGGCGATGACTCAGGGGAAAGAACAGCCTCCTTATTCTGATGTTACAACATAACAGAAAGTAAACATTAGATTTTCTAACAGACTGTTTAAAAAAAAAAAAGAAATAGAATTCAAGTCTCTTGGCTCCCACATGCCTCCTGCTCTTCAGGTAGAAGGAATAAGGGCAACAGACTGTGCTGTGACAGAGCAGAGAGATAGGAAAGGCGATTCAGAAAAGTAACCAGCAGTAACCAGCAGTAACCAGCAGTAATGCACTTTATAGAATGTTCATGTGCAAACAGAACCAGGATTGCATGACCCGTAGGAACACACCATTCTTGCAAGAGTTTAACACTTTTGCTTACTTTTGCACCTGCTTGATATCTTCCTTTAGAAAATGGGTGGCTGAATCTCGTAACTTGACTACCTAATGAAATAATTTATCAAAATTCCCTTTCATCAAAAACTACTGAGGAGGCAGCAACTACCAACAGAATATCTGCAACTATTAAGCATTTGCTTTTCTTTGCCACTGTACATAACAAAAAGAATTTTTCCTGAACAAATTTCAGGCTGCAGCATTAAAGTGAAGCTGGGGTGGAGAGAAGGGGTTAAAGCCTTTTCACTAAACTTCCTTAAAGTCTCTTAATAGTGGTGTCCACACCATCTCCGGGACTGCTACTACAGAAAGCTGCCGTCTTAATTTACAAAAAAGCAAACCCCCAGGATCCCCTGCCTTACGTAAAATTTCAAAACATACCGTTGCTTTTTAAATCATGCATATTTGGGGATACAGTTTGAGTCGGAATTTTTTTTTAAATGTTTTGGTTTTCAAGTAAATATATATTAGCACCAAATTAAACCCAGAAGCATATCTAATTTAGGTCGGTTTACAGCACAGATAATATATCTGAAAATATGGACACGATGCACTTGATGTGCTTTTATTGTAACCTGCGATTTGGAAACAGACAGGAAAAGTACAAATCGGAGGGCAGGCTAGCAAGCCGCTCCATCATAAATAGACTTTTTGAAGAAATGGCATCACAAATTACCTCTTGCAGTAAAAGGTGCTATATACGGTTTTTCAGTACCACGATTTCATTAATGACACAATACACAAAATCATCCTTCTGAAATAACCACAAATCACTCCGGTAAAACATACCTTTAAAAGATACACAGTTAACTCGGCGTGTAAATTGTTACAGGAGACAAAATGGCGGCTACCGGAAAGAGAGTGGAAGGTTACAAAATTTCTAAGAGCAGAAGTGGTTTTGAAGTAATAAGAAACAAAAAATAACCTAACCTCCTCCACATAACCACTAGAACCAGCAAGAAAGTGCTGCGGGGCTGTGTGTGAGGAAGTGAGTACAGGAGGGCTGGAGCCTGCTCACAAAGGAAGTGAATACTCACTTGGGGTTTGACAAACCATCTCATTTAAGTCAGAGTTATCTCACTTGGCACATGTCTACCATTTGGTCCTCAAATAATAAAATAGATCTATACACAGTCAACAGTTGGTGTTAATATATAAACGTAGGCAACCTTCAACTTAAAAGTGAAATGTGTTTTAAAATTGAAGGTGTGTACATCCTGTGCGAGTCTAATTACAGTGTCTGAAGTCCCAGGTGGGGCAAATTTACAGTAACAGAAATAGATCAGTGATGGCCTGGGTGGAGGATGGGGTTTGGGAGAGGAGACTGGCTGCAAAAGGGCACAAGGGAACTTTTTGGATTAGGTGAGTGTTCCCTATCAATTAAGTAGAGGTTAAATGACCCTAAGTTGCTCAAATTCATCAAATTAGCCCAAATGGGTAAATGTTATTATTTTGTTGCTATGTAAATTATACTTCCAAGAAAATGATGTTACAGAATGAAGGTTTGTAGGGTGGCTTTTCAGAATTTGGAACATACTTTTCAAATGAAAAGCATACTACATGTGGTGGTCAGTTTCCAGGTTGTCTCTGTTCCCCAGATAATTTGGATGAAATTGAGCAGCCTGGATGCCCGCTCAGCCTAGAGAGGTCAGAACCACAGGAAGGTCCTCTTTGCACTCTAAGCCCTGGCTGATGGAGGGAGAAGAGAGATGGTCTGATGTGGAACGCAACCATGCAGTTAGGAGGTGGGGGTTGAAGACTGTAAAGTGGTCCTAGGCAGACCTAGGAGAATCAGGAAGCAAACACACCCACTGGCACTTCCACACTTGACTGTTTGCAGGTCAACCCGTAATCATACTTACTAGCTGAAGAGAGGGGAAGCCAGAGGTACTGAGGCTCTGTCGATGGTACTGGCCCAGGTTTGGTGGGAGAGTAAACTGTTTCCTTATTTCCGCTGAAGAGTACCTTGGATTAAAATAGAAAAATCTAAATGAAGCGATTATTTAAAAAAATCATCACAATCGTAGATGCAATCTTTGCTATCGTGTTATAAAACTTGTGTTTTGATTGGGCAATGGGCATAACTGGCCAAAATGCTTCTGTGGCCTGTTGGTGCACATTTTATTTATTTATTTATCAAATTAGCCCAAATAGGTATTTATTTTGAGATTTTATTTATTTATTTTGAGATACAGTCTCTGTCACCCTGGGTAGAGTGCTGTGACATCACAGCTCACAGTAACCTCCAACTCTTGGGTTCAAGTGATCCTCTTGCCTCAGCCTCCTCCTGAGTACCTGGGACTACAAGCAGTCATGACAATGCCCAGCTAGTTTTTCTATTTTTAGTAGAGATGGGGTCTCGCTCTTCCTCAGGCTGGTCTTGAACTCCTGAGCTCAAGCAATCTACTTGCCTTGGCCTCCCAGAGTACTAGGATTATAGGCATGAGCCACTGTGCCTGGCCCTATATAATATTTACTATCTGACAATACAAATTCAGAGGCTAGGATCCCTGCAATCACACGGCTGTTGCCCAATACTGAAAGGATGATGGCAGGAGAAGAAAGTCTGAAGCCCAAGAAAAAGATCCAGGATGTTTGCCTCTGTCTCCCTGGCCATTCAGAGGAGTCCTGTAAACTCTGAGCGGCCATTCCCATTTCAAGCAGCTCAACCCGTTGGTTGGCTGCCTTCTGTAACAGAGGACCATTATGAGAACCTCCCTGCCATCATCTTAGACGCTATCTACAATTCCCAAGGACTGTATTTTCCTCAAACTGCTCCAAGTGAAGTGATCTTTGCGCCACCCATAATGACACTGCTGACTCTTAGCCAACGCTTCTGATATCCAAGAGCCACACATGTGATAGAAAATTAGACTCAGTAGACACTGTGTACTCACACCCGTTGGCATGAGTCTGCTGGCCAGCGATTCCCAGCTTACCAACTGGCTGACCTCTGAATGCTCATTTCTTAGCCATGTGTTTGGAACTCAGAACACATTTTCTCATTCCATTATTATGTTGGTGGCTGGATTCTCAGGCTAGTTCACAAAAATGTATTTAACCCACAATTAGGTCAAAGCATACAATACCAATACTACCACGGATAGTAGAAACCAACAGAGATTACTAAGGATCCAAGGAAGTCTTATATTAATATTTTAAACATGCCTTCTATTCAATGTGCCATTAAACATTATAATTTTAAATATAATATTTAAATATTATAAGGCATATTATATTTTCTTTGTGACATTGTGCACTAGGGCATAAATATTAGCCACCCTGTGTGATGAGGTTTCTGACCTGACCTGCTTTGCTCCCGATCTTGGTAATGTGATACAACCAGAGAGGCAGGGAACCTGGATCCTAGTCCCAACTTTGGCATCCATTATGCCTCCTCAAGAGCACCCCAACTTCCTTTCAGGATGCCCACACTCATGCTGTGCACTGTCTAGGGAAAAATAAAAACCAAAGGGTGGGCACAACCCAAAGCAGGGCAATGACCCCCACCCCAGGATTCTAAATGGTGAACAGAATGGAAGGAAACGGCTGGAGCACATTTACACTAGCGGCAGCCGCTTGTGTCTTCATGCAAGGAAGCAAAACCCTGGAGAAAGCTGCAGCAGCAAGCACAGGTTGGACTCCTTCATTTCCTAAAGCATCTTCATTATTTAATGTTTTAAAAGTATAAGAAAATTGTTCTTTAAGGAGTATGCATTCTATTAGCCATCAGGGACACACAGATCGAACCACAGTGAGATGCCTTCTCACAACCACTAGGATGGCTATCATAAGAAAGATGGGTAATGACCCGTGTTGGGAAGGGTGTGAAGAAACTAGAGCTCTCACGCTGCAGGAGGGACTAGGGAATGGGAGCCCTTTTGGAAAACAATTTGAAAGTTCCTCCAAAAGTTAAAACAGAGCTCCGTATATTGCAGTGATTCCATTCCTACGTATGTTCCCAAGAGACATGGAAGCCTATTTCCACACAAAAATTTACACGTGAACATTAATAGTAGCATTATTCATAACAGCCAAAAACTGGGAACAATTCAAATGTCCATCAACCCATGAGTGCGTTAACAAAAGGTCGTGTGTCTACATAATGGAGGGTTAGTAGTGAGAAGCACTGAAGTGCGGATACATATCACGACTGGGGGGAACCTTGGAAATATTATCCCAATACAGTAAGCTAAACCAAAAGACCACATGTTGTAGGATTCCTTACGTGAAAATCCAACAATAGCAAAAGCTACAGACAGACAGTAGATTTGTGATTTCCTAGGGTTAGGGGGACTGTGGAGAAATGGAGAATGACTACTGATGGTCATGAGGTTTCTTTCTGGAGTCATGAAAATGTGCTGAAATCGATTGTGGTGTGAACGTACAATTCTGTGGATACATTAAAAAAATCACTGAATTACAAATTCAATGGGTGCTTTATGGTATTTGACTTACATCTAAGCAAGATAAATATGGGTAGGTATATGCATGTGTGCACGTGTATGTAAGTAATCCGCAGAGACAAGCGTGAAGGCAGGAAAATACCAAATTTAGCCTGATAACGAGGAGTGGAGGAAAAACTTCAGGCTTTGTCTTTAAGTGCTTGATAGATTGATTTTTTTTTTTTTTTTTTTTTTTTT